AGTTGCCAAAGCTGGGAGAGAGGAAGTGACACAGAGAAGAAATGTCACTGCCCTCACTGCAACCTTTTAATTCTGAACTCATCAACACTCAGATGACTTTGCTTAATATCTCCAAAATAGCTGTCTCTTCAAGATAACAAACCATGCCACATTACTCAGTCTTGAAAGGATGTAAGTAAGAGCATGGGTTTGGGAGGCTAAAGTCTTGGATTCAAATCTTTGTTCTGCCAGTTACTAAACAGGGATCTCAAGAAATTACTTAACCACCCTAAGTCATAGTTTCCTCACCTCTAAAATTAGGTAGTTTTCATACTATCTCATGGGGTACTGTGAAGTTTAAATGCCACCTGTGTAAAGTACTTAGCAGAGACCACAGAAACAGCTCATGGGACACTATGACTACTCTTCATTGCTCCATCCCATCTCCCCCATTCCTTAAATTCTTTATTTTCTTGGCCTCCAACTTTTAATTCTGTTTCCTGTTCTCCCATATGTTCAACAGTCTGACTGGGCTCCCTTCTCTATTACCAGGGACATCTCAAGAAAGGTTGATCCACTCAAAGTACTTCAGCCTGAAAAGAGTATAGTAAAGGAACCATTTACAGAGGTATGCCCTGGGTTAAGAAGCCGAAGATGGTGGAGCACCACCGAGTGGGGGGAAATCATGATAAGCTTTAGGTTTAAAATGCAAGAGGAACAGAGGTGTCACTGGAGCCAGGTGGTAGCTAGAGCTGTGGCCAAGAGGAAAGCAACCACCCTAGAACAGCAGTAAGGCAGGGAGGGAGTAGCGTGTATGCAAGGGAATAATCCAGCTTCTTTCTCTTCCTTCCTGCCAATCTCTTGCCAGTGACTCCCATTGACTGAACCCAATTGGAAGCAAAATAATAACAGAGCCAGGTGATGGATGCAGTCAAGAGGCCCATTTTCTGGGGGGCAAAAGCAGGGCAGAGAAGGACAGGGAACAGATGGTAGGGTGGGGCCGGGGCAAAATGTTCTGTTGTTTTTTGCACAAGTGGGAGAAGAATGGGAAGGAACTGTAACATCCCAAGGGAAAAGTCTCATTGCCCTCAGGATAGGTGAAGGAAATGAAATTCAGAGAGGTAGTGAATTGCCAAGTTTTCCAGCTAGAAAAAGGAACCAGATTCAGATCTTTAAATGGTGCCTCAGGCTATGCTGTTTCCCACTACACTGTGTAGCTCTGCTCAGAGTGATGGCTGAAATTATCTTGGTCTCACCTAAGCAACTGCTGCCCAGAGATAAACCAAGGGTAGGGAATTATATCTTGTTTTTTTGCCCCTCCTTTAGCTCCCTACTCACTTGGTCTAAATCCATTCATTGTGGTTTTCCAATTACCTTTCAGAGACAGTTTCTCAAAGATTAATTTTGATAGTTGACAATAACCAAACTGGATTCCCTCCTTTTTAGGGAGAGAGAAGGAAGGGAGGGAGGGAAGGAGGGAGGAGAGAGAGGAAAGGAGAGAGGGGGGAGAGGAACAGAGAAAGGGGGAGGTAAGGGTAGAAGCTTTGTAAAAAAAAAACAGTCTGAGGAGCATTATTTGTAATAGCTAAAAACTGGAGACTAACCAAATGTCTATCAACAACAGCAGAACGGAAAAACAAATTGTGGAATATCCATGTAATGGAATATTATCCAGGAAGAGAACTAAAACTGCAAACAACAGAAGGAATGAAACTCTTAGATCTAGTATTAAGAAGAAGGAGCCAGATTCCATTCATAAGATTTCAAAAGCAGGTGAAATAAACTGCAGGGTGAGAGGATGGGATAGTGGTTATTTAGGGTCTGGGAAATGACTGGGAAGGGGTTTCTGCGTTGTTAATAATTTTCTGATTTTTGTGTATTTTTGTTTGTTTAAGCTGGGTGGTGGTTATACAGGTGTGTTCATTTTGTGACAATGTGATGCCTGCCCTCTATGATTTATGCCCTTTTATATGCACAGACACACAAGTTCAGGTAACTAGTTGCATTAGCCAGTTTCCTGTAGTAAAAAATCAATCTCCCCAAATCTCTGTGGCTTACAATACAATTATCTCTTTGTAGTCTGCAGAATTCTAAGAAGGCCTGGATGGTGTCTATCCTTTGGTGTTACTCGTGTGATTATGTTATATTACATGGCAAAGGGATTTTGCCAATGTAATTATGTTTATTAATCAGTTGACTTTAAGATAAGGAGATTATCTGGGTGAACCTAACCCGATCACATGCACCCTTTAAAAACAGACAGTTATCTCCAGCTGCTGGTCAGAGATTTGCCAGGAAGGAGAGTCAATGTGCCAACGCTGGCTTGAATATGGAAGAGCCACAGTGAAAAGATCCAAGAAAAGCCACTAAGAACTGAGAGCAACCCCTAGACAACAGCCAACAAGAAAATGAGTCTTTAGTCCTACAACCACAAGAAAAGAAATTCTACCAATGACCAGTGAGCTCAGAAGAGAACTCCAAATCTCAAATGAGAACAGCAGCTAACACTCTGATATCAGCCCCGTGAGACCCTGAGCAGGCTATCCAATAGGGTCACGCCCACATATCTGACCTACAGAAACTGTGAGATAAATAAATTTGTAATTTTAAGCTGCCAAGTTTGTGGTAATTTATAATGCAGCATTAGAAAAATGAATGAATGCACACTTGTTCACATTTTGGCAACTTTGTGTTGGCAGCTGCTGAGATTCTGCTCAGCTTTGCTCCACACGTCTTCACATTCTGGGACCCATATTGAAGGAGCTTCCCTATTTGGGACATTCACGTGACAGAGGGGAAAAAAGCAAGTGAACTGACAAAATACCATGATGGCTCTTAAAGGATGTAGTGTTTATCACATCTGTTCATACTTCAGTGGCCAAACCAGGTCACAAACCCTTGCCCAAAGGCAATGGAGCAGGATGTATAATCTTATAGAAAACGGGAGATTGAGTAATTTCAAAAAATAATATAATATAATCCACCACCATGGAACGTTGTAACTCTGGTCTAACAGGAAAAAGCAAAGTCTTTGGGGTCAGAAAAACCTGAGTATGAATTTTGGTACAACCACCTTAGTGGCTATGTGACCACAGAGAAATTAGGAAATTTCTCTGAGCCTTAGTCTCTTAAATGGCAAATACATGCCCTAGAGAATTGGTGTAAATGTACCAGTATAATGCCTGATAGGTATTCTAATATATGTTGATAAATATTAGCTTCAGCCTCTTGTCTCAAGGATTAACAGAATGTAATTCTCCCAAAGGGAAAAGTCAGGGAATGAAAGCCATGTCTAAACATACTTCCCCTTCTTCATTTTCCTAATAAAACTAATGTAGAGTCCCAATTGCATAATTCCTTCATAAACTATATCTCTTTGAACATTGTAGTAATAAATCACTGACAGTAAAGGGGATATAATATTAGTCTTCTGAATGGGATTGTTAAACACGATCAGTATCAGAGGTGGGATTATTCTATAATTACATTTCTAAATTGATGATTCACTTTAACATCTATTTCTGGTTTGTGAAAATGTTGTCATAAAGCCATAGTTATTGCAGCTGAAAAACTGGCCAAATCAAACAGTGAATAATACTTTGTCCTCAGACTGTTTGGACTTCCTTTTTGACTGCCCTGATGGTTTTAAACACTATTTCATGTTTCCAGGTCGCAAATATTTGTCACTTTTAAAGTAGCTATTATTAGTTGTTATTGTTTAAGCCTCAATCCACTATTTAGGGTTTTAATTTTGTTCTTATTACACAAAAAATAACCATCTTTCTCTCTCTCCCCCCCCTTCACACACACACAGTGAAGTCAGTACACTTTCATCAGAATCAGGCAAAAGCCAAGTCACTCCAAACAAAACAAAACAAAACAAAACAAAACAAAAAACAAAACAATTTATGAGCTGAAGATAACTGTAGTCAACATTGTGGAGTGTATTCTTCCAATTTTTTCCCTGAATAGTTAAGTTACATAGATAGATAGCATGTGTCTGCATTTCTGTATATTCACATTTCTTTCACAAAAATGGGGTGACACATTCTATTTTATAACCTGCTTTTTCATGTAGTTATATACATATATACCACTGTTTTAATGGTTTCATTTAATAATTCTATGTATATTTTTCAATCAGTACCTTATTATTGGATATTTAGGTTACTTGTCAATTTTCTATTATCCAGCCTCATAAACAGAGCTTCTGCTAGCCCATACATATGAACTAGAGGAAGCCAGGGTATAGGGCTTCCTGACTAAAGCGCCTGCTGGATTTTGGCCCCATTCACCCTGACTTACCCCTTTGATCAGATCCCATATATGGTAGCTCAAATATCCAAATATATACCAGAAATGTTAAAGAACAATAAGCACAGAATCTCTGTCAGAATGGATGAGCCTTTGTTGAAGTCTCCACCCATTTTGTATTATCAAGAGTTGCCAGATGGTATGTAAAAGTATCTGTGTTTTAGTTCATAAACTGCCCTTTCCATGATTTGTCTTTATTGACTGGTTAATTTCTCTGTGAAATTAAAATTGATTAAAGTGCTATAGACTTTACAGTACATAGATGCACACAGTGCCCTGTCTCCAGTGTGTCACAAAGTTGCCCCCTGATTAAGGCACTCAGGTGCTTTTTTTTTTTCCCCCACAACAAAAACTGAAAAAGGCAACCTTGTGTTCTGAGTCTTTTTTTGCTTCAGACCAAGAAAATGATTGCTCATAGAGTCCCCAAAAGAATGGCCAACAGTGACTCTGGAAAGCCCTGAATGAAGCCATTGTTATAGAAATATTACTGCCTTTATGGGAGAAAAAAAATCACATATCTATCTATTTATCTATCATCTATCTATCTATCTATCTATCTATCTATCTATCTATCTATCACCTATCTATCATCTACCTATCTATTTCAAACATATAAGGAATTCAGCAGAAGTTTCCATTTGCCTCTGTTAAGAACTCCCTTTAGAGACACCGCAAGGCCAATTACCTAGGAGCTGGTGGACACTGACCTCTAACCTGGGCCCCTGAGCCCAGGCTTCCGTTGTCTCCTCCTGGGCTCCAACTTGGCTTCTGATGAATGTGCTATTGTTGGTCTCTTCAGAGATGAGCTGTTAAAGGAAAGGGAAGATTATTTGCAAGTGGGTAGGAAAATGTTCCAACAAAAGAATGAAATGAAGTAATTAGCTTCCTTCTATATATGAGCACCAGCACTGTTGCCAAATCTTTAGACTGTAGTGAGTGAAGAAATGATGACATTACTGATGCAAGGCAGAGTCCCCTGCAGTCACTGACCAATCATGGGTAAAGCCACCCTCCTCTTTACCCCAGGGGAAGATGGGAGGTGGAGGTGCCTGCAAATTTATCCTAGGATATTTCTCATCTTATTAAAACCTTTTAAAATGGGGACCGCTGCCTGAATGGGAGGACTATGTAACATAACAAGCACTAGGGGAACTAAAGGTTTTTAGGATGATATGCCCCTTCAAGAAGCTGAGAGATCTATGGGGTGGTGTTAGCTGATTGTTCACTTTTCCTACATATGAAAGGTCTTGCCATGGCTTAGAATAAAGCTCAAGAGAAACCTTACCACCACCCTCTTCTGGTGAGCCTAAGGTCTGACAGGAATCTCAAAGCACAATTAAACTTGTGTTGTATTATTTTAGAAAATGAGGGAAGATCATGGGTTGTCTATTTCTTATAGACAATTTGACACTGTGGACTATTAGAAAATTTGAACAGAAAAATGGACAATTGGAAGGATTACAGCAGAAGGATAAAAAGAGAAATATCTGGGCCTGACACTAGTTAGCTACAACTTAGCTGATAGCTTTGTCAAAGAGATGTATGACGTGGCTGCTATATGGAATGAGGTGTCTTCACTTTCACCATGAGGAGAGACTTAAGGAAAGGAAGCTGGTGGGTTTGTTAAAGGTATGGAAGTGCATCTGTGAAAATGGATGCCATCAGTGATGGAAAATAATAGTTAACTTCCAGGAGTACCATAAGAACCAACCAACGGGTTTTTAAAGAACAGAGGTAGTTGGATGTGGAAGACAAGAGTTAAGAAGAGTGAGAAGGAAAAAGAAAAAGCAGAAAAGATAAAACTTTACATTTTGAGGTCTTTCTTAAACTCCTTGGCTTCTTTCCTTTCTACTTCTCTGTCTCAGGTCTAACCCTCCAAATAACACTGTCCCTAGGAAGTCTTTTCTTTCCAGGCTGAGTGAGATGTCTTCATCTGGGTCCTTGGACTCCCAATGTCCACCCCTCATCACAAAGGCCTACAATGGCCTAAATTTCCTTGTCTGTCTATCCAGTAGACTCTGAGCCTCATGAGTTCAGTACAACATACCCACTTTGCTCCCTGCTGTGGTCTTAGAACCGAGAGCAATGCCTGGTGCACGGTGAGTGTTCAAAAATATGTTGAAAGAATAAATTGCAGAGGGAGGGTGCAGAAGTCATAAGCAGAGAGAATAGCCTGATCAGAGAGGAGCAGATTCATGGGATGGCCAAGGTCCACAGGTAGAGAATTGATACAGTTTGGGAATTTAAAGAAGCACCACAGAGTGTGAAAGAGTGGCAAAGATGGGGCTTGAGGGGAAAATGGGTTGATCACAAAGAGCCCTCAAGCCATGTGAAAGAGATTAGAATTAATGCTGAGGGTAGCATGGGGACATTGACAGGAAAGTTGGGAAGTGATGTGATTAAATGTGTATGTTTAGAAAGAGGAAGCTTGCTGCAGTCTAGAAAACTGATTGGAGAGGGGCCAGCATGGAGGAAGGGAGCTCATTTAGAAGACAGTTGCAGATATCTATGACAGATATCATCATGAGTTGAACCATGTAGTGCAGAAGGGATAGAGAAAGTGGATGGATATATGAAATATTTCAAAAGTAGAGTTGACAGAGTTTTGATATTGATTGGAGAATAAGGAATAAAAAAGAAGTTAAGATTGATAGCTATATTTTAAGATTGATGGTTTGACCAAATAGATACTAAATGGTACCATTCACTAAGATAAGCAAATAAGAGGATTATTTTTGCCTTTTTGTAAAATCAGCTTTGGGCAGGTTAAAGTCAACGTGCCTTTGCAATATTGAAGAGGTCACATCTGGACATAGTTAAATATGCACATCTTGAGAGCTCAGGTAAATAACAGAGCTGGATACACAGAACTAGTGACCATGGGCACAGGTGGTAATTAAAGCCAGGGAAACTGATGAGATTGCTTAGAGGAGTGTGTAGAGGGAGGAGACAAGAAGATTCGGGACTCTGAAGAATGGGCCCCTTTTTTTATAAAGGGCAGAAGAAAGAAGCCTAAAAAGAATAGTACAACAAAGCAGTCTGAAAGACAGGTGTCACAGAAGCAGAGGGGAGAATTCATTTCAGGTAGAAAGAGTGGTCTAAATATCAAAGTCTATAAGAAGTTAGGTTGACAACTGAGACAATGTCAATTAAATTTAGCACCAAGGCAGTAATTTGTTACTCTGATAATAGCTTCAGTAAAAGTTTGGGGACAGAAGCCATATTACACTGGGTTGAAAAGGGAACAGGAGATAACAGTGTGAATATAGTCAGTATGGACAAGTATTTCGAGAAGTTTGACTGTAAAGGGGCAAGTACTCCTATAGTTTTCAAACCCTTAAAAATTCAGTCTTTATGGGAAGAAATAATTGGCAACTAGTTGTGGCCTAAGGAAGATCACAGAACAAAACAGACCCTCAAGAGCTGTGGACAACTCCAAAACCTTGGAGGTAGTGGTCTCAGAAGGCAGGGGAAAGTGAGTTTGCTGGGAAAATTCCATTTTAAACTCTGATATGATGGATGGTGTTTTGCTGAGTGAAAATACACAAAAGCAATTAGAAAGAGGAGTGGAATTGACTGAGGTGCTCTGGCTGAGATGAACATTTTAGGAGTTCAATGCAGTAGTAGCAGCTAAGACAGTCCACAGGTATAAGACTTCCAGGGGAAAAAATGAGAGTGAGAGAAAAAAAAACTAAGGATAATAATGACATAATAATCCACTGATATTTGTCATCTAGGAACTAGGTACTCTCCCTGATTGGACAACTGGATAAGGACAGTCAAGTTATCATTTTTATGCAGACTTTTAAACTTTTACTAAATTATCAAGTAGAGACACATTTAAACTTTTGATTATTAAAGACAAGTTAACGCCTCCATCCACAGGCTATGTATTAGCACAATACTCTTGACTTTACAACTTAAAATTCATTCAGTAAAATTTATTCAGATACCTTTAGCATTTTCTGTATTACATAATTTCTATGAAGAATATGTTTCCCAACAGAAACTATTATTTTCAATAATGAGTAAAATTATGAGAGATACAAATATAGAGTTCAGGCTCTCTCTGAATGAATGCTAAATGGTGTCATGTGTTTGAGCAATGGCCAGAATGTGGGTGACTGATAGAGAATACGGAGTGCTCTGTTAGGAAGGGGAAACTAAAAAGGTGGTGGAAGTCAGATCATGGCAGGTCTTCAATATTCTGCTAAATACTTTTAGTTTCATTCTGCAGGCAAGGGAAAATCACTGAGTGATTGTGGGCAGAGGAGAGAGGCTTAGATCTGAGTTTTAAGAAGGGAATTCTGGTAATTAGTAGGCTCTTAAAACATATTTGTTGACTGAATGGAGAAATCAGACTGAAGACTGGGGGTCAGAGGAAAAGTACTATTACTGTTTGGAAGACAACGGGAGATAATGTGGAAGGTCTCTCATTCAGGGAAATCAGGGACAAATCAGGGACTCAATTTGGTCAGTCATTTGCAAAACTTATCAAATCAGAGAACAACAAAAAAAAGATATTTACCTTGGATATTATATTTTAACTTAAGATGCATATGAGTACACTTAACCAGCAATTATATAAGAGTGCGCTAAGGCGCCTTCTTTGAGTACAGGTCTGCTAATTGGAGTTTTGTATTATTTTTCTTGCATGAACCACACCCATATTTCTGTTTATGTTTCTTTAAATTGCAGCAAAAGGCAACTGGAGTGCAGAATCTTAAAGAAATTTTTACAGGAGTAAAAACCAATCATTTTTGGTTCACCTTCTCCATACTTAAGTCGATAATAATATTTTCAGCGACTTACTCTCATCCTGTCTTTCCAAAGCATTCAACTCAGTTTTCATAGGGAGAGCTCTCTTTCATACTCATATCTCATTAGTTTACATTGTATTTAATTAAATATTGTAACGTAATAAAAAGTACAACTGCATTGCCTGGCTTGAGAACAAAATACAACTCTTTCTTGGTAAACATGCAACTAAACTGATGGGACTAGGAACATTCAACGTTCCAGGCAATCTCCTACTAGTTTCCAGTGATGAATGTGTAAGAGGATTGAAGAGTGTTATTAATGACATGATTTGACTAACTGGGGATTGGCTAGCAGAGCTTCTACTGTGATGATCTGAGTTAGGGCTACAGCAGTGGAAAAAGAGAGGAGAACGTATTGAAAAGTCATCAAGATGCTCACTACCTTTGGAAATAAAGAGGCTTGAGTTCAAATACTGACTTTATCACTGAGCTCTAAACATCCAAGTTTCTGTTTTCTTATGTGTAAAAGAAGAATGATGCAGAATATGGTGAAAGATTGGGAAAATTCACCTAATGTACTTAGCAATGTGCCTGACAAAAGTAAATTAATATGATACTAAATCAATAGAATTTGATGTTGAATTCAAGAAAGTAAAGAGTCATAGATGACTCCTTATTGTCTAACTAGGCTGAATAAAAGATAATAATACCACTAACTGAAATAAGAAACACAAGAGGAGAAATAGGTTTCGTAGATAATATAATTTTGGATGTATAGAGTTTCCTGGTGTGATATTCATATTGAGGTGACTAGAAAGCAGTTGGAAATGTTATTCTGACTTTCAGTGAGAGGTCTTGGTTAGTGATATCAACTCAAAGTCATCCATATAGAATGATAAATGAAGCCATGAAATGGGTAGGTTTGGATACAAAAGGAATGAGGACATAGCAGGTTGGTTGGGGAAATACACAACCAGATTTGAGGCAAAATCCAAGATACAAGAGGAACCAGCTGGGGTAGTGAGGCAATAGTGGCATGTCCAGGA